CATAACAAGATGGGTCAAAGGGTACAAATTACCTCTTAAACGAACACAAAGAGTTGTACCCAATGCAAATATCAATCCGTCCGATCTAAGCAAGTTTAAGGTAGTCGTCAATAAATTTCAAGAAATTGGTGCCATACAATTAACGTTTTAATCACGAACAAGGCGAATACATCTCATTGTTTTTCCTGTGGAAAAAGCAAAATGGAGAATACAGATTCATTTTGAATTTAATAAAATTCAATAATTTTATCACAGCTCCCCATTTCAAATTCGAAGATCATAAGGTAGCTCAATACATTATCTCTAGAAATGACTTCCTTGCTAAAATAGATCTCAAGGACGCATATTTCTTCATACCGAAAGCTAAAACACACGGAAAGTATCTGAAGTTCAATTTTAATAATACACTATGGAAGTTTCAAGTTCTACCCTTTGGTCTCAGCGTTGCACCACATGTATTCACGAAAATATTTCGACCTGTCCCTAAAAAACTCAGATCGGAAGGACTGAAATCGGTAGTATACTTGTGTACTGTAAAAGACACTTGCATCGAACATGTTCGGTACTAAGTTCATTAGGATTCATTATAAATCAAACAAAAAGCATTTAGAATCCTTCCAAATATGTGAATTCTTAGGATCCACATATAATACGTTGAACATGACCATAAACTCCCGAATAAAAAGAAAAGCAATTTGATGTTAAGTATACAAAAAATAAAAAAAAAATGAAAACCTGTAAAATCATTAACTTTGCCAAACTCATAGGACAGTTAGTGGCTGCCGGCCCTGCGGTTAAATATGGATGGCTGTATATTAAACATTTTGAAAGGGAAAAACAAGCAGCCCTCATTAGAAATAATTTAAATTACGAAGCTTCAATGTCCATCCCTTCACACTTGCGAACAGACTTTACTTGATGGATGCAAAACATACCATTCCAAACATTTGGCACCAAACAATATCAGATAGAAATTCATTCAGATGCTTCCAAAACAGGTTGGGGGGGGATACGCAAATGGACAGAAAACACACGACTATTATTGAACTGAAGAAGTGAGTAGTCTTCATATAAATATTCTAGAACTCAAAGCAGCTTGGTATTGCCTGAAGTTTTTTTCTCAAAGATTAACTGATATCAACATTCTTTAAAAAAAAAAAAAAAAAAAAAAAAAAAAGACAATATCACAGCCACTTCCTGCATTAACCGCAAGGCCAGTGTCCGGTTTCCACTATTGAACAATGAAACTCGTCTAATTTGGCAGCATTGCGAGGAAAATAAACTATACGCATTCGCCACCTATATTGAGTCCAAAAAGAACATAGTAGCTGACGAAGAGTCGTGCAATCGATCGATAGAAACGGAATACGAACTTTCTAGCACAGCATAATTATGGAGGAATAATTAAATCACTCGAAAAGCCAGAGATTGATATTTTTGCCAGCTACCTTAACGCCAAATGTAAGAAGTACCTACATATCTTGGCGACCTGATCCATATTCGATTGCGATCGACGCATTCACGGTGAATTGGCATAGTATATTTTTCTACGCTTTCCCACCATTTTCTGTAATTCCAAAAGTATTACGGAAAATAATTGAACGCAAAGGCACTGGAATTTCAGTGGTTCCCCTATGGCAGAGCCAGTCCTGGTATCCCCTATTTGAGAAAATGTTGAGAACCACACCCACTGTGGACATCACTTACCCTGGAAGGTTATCGGGGACGCATTTCGAATAAAAAAGAACTTACCGGATTAAGCCATTCCTACCATAATTGCATCAATTTCAGACAGCACTCTCAAACAATACGAGGTCTGCTACAAGAAATGGTGGGAATACTGTGCAGGGAAAAAAGTAGGAGTATATAGTAGTAAAGGGTTTTATACCATAGACTTCCTTAAAACACAAGTAGACTCTGGTGCATCTTATTCGGTGCTAAATTCATATCGATCAACACTCAACTCAATCTTAAATTCAAACCCTGAAGATGAGAAATTGATGAAAAGATTTATTAAGGAAATCTACAACATAAATCCGCCAAAACCAAGATATACAGTCACTTGGGACCCACAACTTGTTATATACTATATCTAGAAGAATTATACCCCCTCACATCCTTGAATTAAGAAAAGTTGACTTGGAAACTAGCCACGAAAATTGCTTTGACAACAGCGCAAAGGGCTCAAACCTTGTCAAAAATATCTATAGAAAACATAATAGAAACCGACGGAAAAATAGAAGTGAGGATTTCTCAAAAAATTAAAACTTCGGGCCCCAATAGAATGCAACCAAATTTAGTATTTCCATATTTCAAATCGAAACCGCAACTGTGTGTAGCTTCAACTTTGAAGTATTATATTATGAAAACTTCATCAATTCGTGGAACAACAAAAAATCTGTTCATAACTCATAGACCCTTCCGTCCAGCAAGCAGCCAAACTATAATCAGATGGATCAAATCTGTCCTTAAAGAAAGTGGAATAGACACAAACATTTTTGAAAACCACAGCGTTCGGCATGCAGCCACTTCAGCAGCCCTACAAAATGGTGTGAGCTTAAATTCAGTTTACAAAACGGCTGGCTGGACAGGAGGATCGGACACATTAGCAAGATTTTACAACAGGCCCTTAATGGCGAAGCCAGGCGATTTTGTGAATAAAATACTGGCGGGAAATCAACAGGGAAAGTAGCTTTTGAGTATCAAAGTATCAAAATAAAACACAAATTCGTATTAGGTACTCACACTATTACATTGTTATGGATTTTGTCAAATTACTCTAGAGAATATTACTATTTTGTGTGTTGACTATTAAGTAAATAATAGATATATTGTATATATATACATATATACCTACATTATTATTATTATTATTTTATACTATTTTTCGGGGGGAACCCCCTTTTTTTGAAAACCAGTTAATTTATGGTGTTGTCAAAAACAAAATGTTTGGTCATCCTTATATACCATTCTGGTACATGGAATTTTCAATGAAAATAATAGTATGCGTTCTCAGGGCACGGGGCCCTTCATTGATTGAGAACCCGTTGCTTCATCAAATATTTGAATTCTTGGCTATGGGCATCGACAACAATTCAAGAAACAGTAGCTTGAAAAAAATTTTTTTCAACTCCAAGAATAAGTCAAGCACAAACTAGGTACATTATTATTATTATTATTATTATTATTTTATACTATTCTTCAAGTCAGCAGCCCGTATCATTCCACCATTCTCTGCTAGGATATTGCACACCGTACATTGCAGTTTGCAGAACTTATACCCACGATGTTTAGCTAGAGGCATCTTTGAACAGCTACACAAACGAAATGAGGTTCGACGAAGTTGCGAAGAAAAATTAACAGATCAAACGACTTACCTGTAGGAAGTTCGATCTTAATTTTTCGAGCAACTTCGTCGAACCTCATTAAAACCCTCCCATATGTGGACCTCTATACACTCCCACCCGTTGAGCTAAACATCGCTGGAAAATCCCAAAATCATATTGATACGAACAAGCACGCTGATAAGCATAGGTGATTCAGTAGGTTTTTTGGAATGCTATAAAAACTGTGCCGGCCGTATACAAAATTGTACACTACACAAACGAAATGAGGTTCGACGAAGTTGCTCGAAAAATTAAGATCGAACTTCCTACAGGTAAGTCGTTTGATCTGTTAATTTTATGTAGCGAACACCAGATAATATACAAATAGGTATCTTGTTTTTCCTCGCCTGTGGTCTTTGTCCCTTTGTTCACGATTCACCGCCAATAAAAGAAGAAAATAATGAACGAGGTGAGATCAATTAAACATCGGACACTGGACTGTCCAAAATTTAGTTCAGGCGAATTTTGCCAATACCAAACAGACAATTGTTACAAAATATGTCAATCTACAGGGTGTTTCGGATTGTAATCGGGAAAATTCAATAGGCGATATAATTAGTGAAAATTGAAAGAAAAGTTCATGTAAACATGCATGTTTTGGAGCCCCTCTATACATATTTCGGTATAAAGTCATCTTCAGGAGAACATGTATTTGAACTTTCTTCATAATTAAGTTTTGGAAGCAATGAAAAGATCAAAACATTTCAGAGCCTTGACTCACCAAAATCAAGGAATTAGATAATATACAGCTACAGCTTGCAATAACTCACTCAGAAAAATACTCGGTAGTTAGTGAATATCAAAGCTAAAATCTACTATTTTTTCCTTTGTATAATAAATAACTATATTTCATGTCCAATGAAGTTTATATATACAGGGTGTTCCTTAATGCTGTGCCAATATTCAAGGGGCCGATTCTTCGAGCCATTTCAAGAAAAAAACATAATATGTCGTAAACGTCCTAACTTTTGAGATACAGGGTGTCAATGTTGAAAATATGCATAGATTTTTTTTTCCACCCTGTATAGCTTTTCGTGATGGCGAAATTCAGTCTGCTATGTGACTGAATCGGTATACAAATTTCAAAATGTTACATACTGTGGCTATCCAGTAATGGATGTCCTGAATGGAGTCGTCAGACATCAAAATTTGAAATTTGAAGTTTGGTCTCGTTTTTCTGTTTTTTCTCGAAAACGAAGCAACAAGAGGATCTTTTTTGTACATAATTAAATAGCCTCTTATGACAATGCATAAAATTTTAAATTTTTTTGTCGTTACTCACTTTTAAGTAAAATATAAACAATAATATTCCCGTAACGGTGCCACTGGTAGAGAAAATGAAAATGTTTGTACATCAGAAAATGCACCCTGATGCATAAAATACGTGTACCATATTTCATTAAGATGTATACAATATTGTCTGAGTTATTATCAAAAAACTGTATATTTTTCAAAACTTCATCACCCTGTATCTCAAAAGTTAAGACTTTTAGGACATACGTTCATATGAAGTTTTCTTCTTAAAATGAGTCAAATAATCCTGTATAGGTACTATAATATGATACTTGCCACTGAATCATATATCATGAATCAAAATAGATGTTTTTTTTTCAGCTTTCTCCTACCCCGGTACGTCTCCGGATAGTAGCAGCAGCAACAGCAGTTCACCCTCCTATCGATCCACCCCATCGCCCCCACCGATCGCGTTTTCGCCCCATTCCACCCCCCTCTCGTCCAGCTCCAATTCGGACGAGGGAATCGTCATGGACTACTATCCTGACGAACTGCCAAGAAAGAAAAAGGTATGTGCGAAAAGATCCTCGATATTTCATTGTTCATAATATGAGCCAATTCGGAATTGAATGATAAACACGGGCAGTGGCGTAACTTCATATTTTGGGCCCCCCGCCAAAATCACTTAGGGTCCCCTCGAGACAAAACCTTTCCAGTCATAAGCCCCTTCTTTCCATGAACTATTAGTTATATTGAATAACCAACAAGCTTCACAATACGCTTTATTTTCTTTGAGTGATTAACACAACCATTTCCTTGAAATAATTTGCCCAGCATGACTTTTTTGTGAATAATAAAAATTAGAGAAACTCCTATTTTGGAAAATTTATATCTGGTTGAGACAGACCATTACGAACAATGAACAGTTTTTATCGTGTTGTTCAATTCTCGGCCACTGAAATTGCCTTTATCACAAGGAAATGATTCTTCAATGAATACCTCCAGTAGTGAATTATTTGACTCAGTTCCATCTCCAGGAGTTCTCGCATTCAAGGTATGGGCTCCTCGTGGATTTCAGATTTGATACTTTTTATATTCACACCATCTGTACCTACAGTTTCGAATGCAGTAGTAGCAGAAGTCTCGTCATTTGCTAAGTAAAAATTTGATACTTATTTTTTGTATATATATATCTTTATTTCTTTTCTCCAAACTTTTTTCGATACAAATTGTCACTGATAAGCTAGTGAATTTTTCTTTTAGGCTCTCTGATAGGAAAATTCTTCTAAGGCAGTGACATTTTCGGGCAAATCATCTGATTTGTCCTTACTACACATATATTAAAATAATATTATAGTTATTTATGTATTAAGGGAATTATGAGGGCCTTAATTACCGATGGCAAAGATTGCGTCCCGAGGGCCTCTGGCCCGAGGGACAGCAATTGCCAGAGGTTATTAAGGCTCTATAATTCCCGTGATACATAGATAATTTTATTTCTGACTGATTTCATTCATTAGATATACCTTCCCGATTGGAAGTTAGACATGTTTTTCCGTATAGTTTCAATGTCATCAGAACGTCAGATGATGATCTTGACTACCGCGAATAAGAGATTCCTTATTGCTACGTTATTGCGTGGTTGTTGCTATGCATTTCTTATTTAATTTTAGCTAGAGGGAATTATAGCATCTATAACATCCCAAGGGAGTTATGACCCTCATTATAGATATCGTAACTATGACGATATAAGCTTATAATGTCACTGTCAGAAATAAATATTTTTATTTTATTGAAACGAGGAGAGAAAATCACAAAAAATCTGGATTAATAGTTTTTCTTCCATAATTACAGAGTCAACATCCATTCCTGTTTCAATCATCATACTGCTACTACTTGATGGACATTCATCATACCATTCAACTGTATTATCCGAAACAGTAGTAGTATTCATAAAGAACGTGGTAGTCTTGGAAATTTTACACTTCTTATCTTCTAACTTTTGTTTCCTTTTTTTTTTGAAGCACCACTAGTTTTAATCAAGTTCTCCATTTGAAATAATTGGCTTGTATCGTTGATTTCATCACCCTGGACCTACACTGAAAAAAACATGCCTGCACTATTCGCAGAAATCGAAAAATTATTTCTGTGGCATATCCATAATTAAGAAATATTCATGTATCAACCAATTTGGCTGAGTCCTTGCTCTGGTTGGTGGACCCAGGGGTTTTGCGGTATATTAGTTACGCCACTGAACACGGGCTTCGTTCATAATCAGGAGTCGAGAAGACAAGATTTCTTGTCTTGATCACGACTTCTTGTCTTATCTTGGAGAAAGTAAAAACACTTTGAAAAATATTCTCTTGACGTTTTCTTGACATATTAAATCTTGTCTAGACTCTAGGTTCAAGATCTTGAAATTTCTGGATTAATATCGGTAGTTTACTGCATTCAAGCTGCAAAACTAATTGGATACCTATACTTTCGACATAGGGTCGAAGCAACTTCCTCTTCTTCATGGGGAAAGGTTCTACAATCAGAGGCTGTTCACACATTTCTAGAAATATGTATAGCTATGTTTAACTTAATAAATCTGCCGAGTCCTGAAAAATGAGTTAACGAATCTCAGTATCTTATTGATGGAAGTATAAAATATGTTTCGCTTAAGTTTTATTGTTTGACAAAATTCGTTGAAAATACAATGAAATGTTCTCACTAAAATTGCAATCACGAGTCCAATCTGGATCAGTAACGGGGATACGGAGGGTAATTTAAGCATAACCTGTGGCATAACATAGGCAAAATTAACATGTTTTAGAACGTATTTTATATGCTTATTTATCTGAAAAACGGTTCGTTTCTCGAAAAAAATTGAAGAGCAAAGAAAGCCTCTAAATTAATCGATCCACCCAATTTTATCACTGAAAGATGCCAGAGGCGTACTACGAAAAAATTTGAGGGAGATAAAGAAGCCTCTACCCATAAAAACGTATCACCCTGTAGATTTTGAGAATCTTTAAATTGCTTAAACTGATGATCTTTTAGGAAGTATTGACCATACGGAATTTCAAAATGAAATCTTGAAAAGTAAGCGAGATATTTCAATTGATAAAAAAAAAAACTTTGACCCCCTGTAGGGAGATCTATCTCCCATTTAAGTTTGTGCCTTAAAACCTGAATCAATTGATATACCAATCGATAAATCGATATGTATCGATATATCGGTTTTTTTTTCATAATATCGCTATTCAATATATTGATATTTATTGATATAAACTACTCAACACTAATTTCGTCGCACACCAAAATGTCGCCCCTGTTATAATGTAAATAACTTTTTTCAGTTTAGAACAATTTGAATTTGGTTCACATTGTTCGATAGCCCAGTCCTTCAGCTATAATCTCGTACTGCATTGAAACATAAGGGTATTCACATAAAATCTCTACATGGTGTTTTCCGACACTGTGCGAAATTTCGGAATATTCAAAATGCTCTCAAATGGTGAAAAAGAAATTTTTCTCAACTTCGACAACAGAGGCATGAAGATGATCTCATTACCTCGAGATATTTCGCGAATCAAATTCCTATCTCTCTTATTTACAGAGTGATCTCAGAAAAACAAATTTCTGGTTTTGCAGCCATAACTTTTTTCAACGTCAACCGATTTTGGAAATCTTAGGCTCATTTTGAAGATAAAACTTTAGATGAAGAGATCTGAATATCAGAATTGACTCAAGATGGCAATCAAAGATCTAGAGTTTTCTTGAAAGTGACCCAAATCTGGAACGCCCTCCGAATCTCGGTTGGGAGGAGAATTGAATGAAAATCAACTTGTTCTCGGAAAAACAATTCATTCTGGATGCGTCCATATTTTCCTCGTTCTCAGTACTCAAGAATGTGCGTGAGAAACACAATTGAAACATGTTCTTGCAAAAACATCAGACCATTTCTCCTCTGTAATGCATGGCCCGTAACCAACGTTACAAGAATCACAGTAAGTGACTGACAAGTCAGGTTAGACGTCGTTTTCGAATCATGAACAGATTTTGATAGTTTCGATATGGCATCTAACCGTGCCCGACCAGTTGGAACTGATTCCACAAATGAGGAAACAAGGATTATCTTCCCTCCAAATCGCGGTTGTGACTAAAAACTTTACGTAATTGGCAAACTGTTTTCGTGAAACTTTCACCATTTTTGAAATGCGTTTTTACAATAAATAAACGTTGTTTGCTTGAATACTTCTCCATATTCTTAAATCGCATGTTATGTACGTGACAACTGTTAAAAAAATCACTTTATTGAAAAAATCAGAATCCGTTGCTCTTGTTGGTACACCATTCATGATGAGCCTCAGCTGGTCGGGTTTGTCAGTCACTCATTGTGATTCTTGTAACGTTGGTTACGGCAAGCCATGCATTACAGAGGAGAAATGATCTAATGTTTTTGCAAGAACATGTTTCAATTGTGTTTTCTCACGCACATTTCTTGACTACTGAGAGCGAGGAAAATATGGACGCATCCAGAATGAATTGTTTTTCCGAGAACAAGTTGATTTTCATTCAATTCTCCTCCCAACCAAGATTCGAAGGGCGTTCCAGATTTGGGTCACTTTCAAGAAAACTCTAGATCTTTGATAGCCATCTTGAGTCAATTCTGATATTCATATCTCTATATCTGAAGTTTTATCTTTAGAATGAGCATAAGATTTCCAAAATCGGTTGACGTGGAAAAAAGTTATGGCTGCAAAACCAAAAAGTTGATTTTTTGAGATCACTCTGTGAATAAGAGAGATAGGAAGTTGATTCGCGAAATATCTCGAGGTAATGAGATCATCTTCATGCCTCTGTTGTTGAAGTTGAGAAAAAAATGTTTTCCACCATTTGAGAGCCCTTTGAATATTACGAAATTTCGCACAGTGTCGGAAAACACCATGTAGAGATTTTATGTGAATACCCTTATGTTTCAATGAGGTACGAGATTATAGCTGAAGGACTGGGCTATCGAACAGTGTGAACCAAATTCAAATTGTTTCAAACTGAAAAAAGTTATTCACATTATAACAGGGGCGACATTTTGGTGTGCGACGAAATTAGTGTTGAGTAGTTTATTTCGATATATCGATATTTTTGCCCAGCCCTAGTGTTAACCACTACAGCCGGATCTAATCGCAGATCGGACACATTTTGAAGCGCATGAAAGAATCCAAATCAAAGATCTATTATGATTTCTATTTTCCTTATAACCGTAAAATGACTTCCTGATAAGGTGAAAGTGACAAGGAGGTAATAAATATCTTGACTGCTAAAAAGAATCTTAATAGAAAATTGCAAAATTGACCGCTTCGCGGTTCAGTTGTTTTTTGTGTAATGCCGGCTGAACGATTTCTTCAGACTGCTCGGTTATTGCTCGCCTCTCGCCTTTTACAACCAAAATAGAAATTATGCATATATTGATCTATATTATCCCATTTGGCAGTAAATTAGATAACGGAGATCTAACCTTGCAATATTCAACATAGGCGTAGCCATCAGGTCGATTTTTTTCCTCAGCATCTTTGGTGATGTA